GTCCAAAATACAGCTGAAAGTTTCACAGCAATGGTTTCGGAGCAATTGCCAAACCGCCAAAACATGAATAATAAAGAATAATGTCACTCAAAAAAACAAATCACTGGGGCAAAAACAACAGACTCGCGCCATCCACTAATTACTTAACAAAATCTACAGCGAGAACACAATATCTTTACCGCTATCGTCAGTTCTCATTAAATGATAATACTACAATAATAAAACTATATCAAAACAAACATATGATATGGTATGTTCAACAATATACAGCAATGTCACACGATATCAAAAGTCGCCAACTGGTTCACAAAGTTCTGTACAGTTCCGAAAATTCGCTGGCCACGAGGCACGTATAATTGGCGATGACGCAATGGCGGCGCCGGAGAACACAGTCACTCTAAGAGAATTACAACTTTCGAAGATTCAGGCATCACGATCTGATGAATGTCAAGTTCATTGAGCCTTAGTTTTCAAGAGATCACTCACCGCTTAATCAAACAGTTCCCGAGTCACACCAATCCGATCATCGACGACACAGTCCAACGTTGAGTGTCCACAAAGTTGCTGCGACACTGGTTCGACAGTTACTTTGACTTCTTCACAGCACGGGAATAACACAAACTTCGCACAACAACTCGCCTGTGGGCTGCAACACCCTGACTCGGTTCTTTCCTAGCTTTCCGATTGATGCATTAAGTTACACATACAACTTAGCTAGTATTTATTATATACAGCGAGCACAGAAACCAAATCAACTTTCACTACCGCTCCTTTCTATGCACACCCTCGTTTTCATAAAAACAGGCATCCAACCTCGTTCACACCTCAAAATTTAGAACTACAGTTGTGCATAATAAATACGGTCAATTAAGCATAGATGAGCAGCTTATACATACAAAATAAATTAATACATTGTATAATGTTATAAAACAGTTTGCAATTTTGTGCTAAGACGGTTTGGTAAATACAAATTAATTTACTAAATTACTGCGTAATACCTACATTTTGGGCACACAAAATGATTGGGTTACACTCTCCCCCGCACAATTTGAGTGTGTCCCACACTCTACACCTTTCTAGTTACATCTTCTGGTTTGATCAACCTATCATAACCATACCATTACCACTCTTCGGGCTTGTAATATAAATCATCACAGTAACCTTGTTACACCTCTGGCCCAAACCACATTATGTTAATGACCAATATAAATTGAGGTAGGTCAAAATTCACAACTACAATTTTAAATGTGTTTTAACTCGAACTTCACGGAAAAGAATTTTTTCAGATAATATCACACTACTTAATACAAAGTGGTACTTCATGTACACCAAGGATGAATACTAATGTATGAATATATGATGAATGCCATATATACATGTATGAGTCCTGGAGAAACTACATAAACAGAACTGTTCAAACTTAATGCCTCATATCCAACTGTAACCGACTTGTAGGGTAGTACACCAAACATTGTGCCTGGCCATACTTGGACATTCATCAAGGGTAGGGCTACAATGCATGCGGGTATCACCAGCTGTGTGTCCTGTTCCACCCTTCTGAAAATACAGCAATTAATTCAGACTCGGAACATAATCTTAGGAGATTCATAGGGAATTACCGCGCATTACAAAACCTTTGATTCCATAAGTCCACAAAGCTCACCATCATAGTTCGACAACTTCATTAGTACCAGACTCCTCCATCACTACTCTCATAGGAATCCCCGATGTAGATGATATTACCACTCTGAAACTCATCCTTTTTCTCTATGTTGACTACAGGAGTAGATGACTCACTATCACAGCCATCATACAAAGGTCTCAGATTTTCGGTTAAATCTGTCCTGTCAAATTTCAAACTGTCATCAGGCTCAAAAGCACACATTTCCCTGGGACACTTTTCATCAAATGTAGAGTCTGTCAAACATCTTAGGATACATTTTAGTGTCTGTTCTATTCTATGACTACTCTGTTTCACCTTCTCAGCCTGTATAATCTTCTGATGTGCTTGTGACCAACCATATCGCCGAGGGGGTTTACTTTGTCTAGAAGACCTTCTAAGGGTGGGCTGATGTTGTATATGCATGTCTTGAGTTTCGAATAACGACTCAGCCTGGCTACTGGCAATGTCCTCAGTTTCCTTCACCGAACTCATTTCTTCGTCGTTCACACTCCCCTGACTATTCTCTGATAACATGCTAATCCCAGGGTGCTCATCATTTTGTTCGGGTGCTACCTGAGATTCCTTCTCACTACTAGCACTACTACGTCTTTCATCACTAACTTGCTCTGAACTCAGCTGACTGGATACATCATCAGCAACAGTCTCTGCAGGAGTGATTGCACCCAAAATTATTTCGGATACAGGGCTATCCGCCAACGGTCTGTCCAGTTCACTCTCTCTCTCTCTCTCACCACACTTTGATCTTCCTGGTAATGGTGAGTCACTTTTTCATTGGTTGACAAGCATGGTTCCCCTAGTGATGGGTCAGTATGTTTTACCAAGCGTGGTAGTTGCTTCCTTTGAATGACTTCCAGCATACAATCTTCATCACTTGTATCACTGTTTGCGTCATAACCTTGACACTCCCTTGTCATGGGTCTATCACACTTTCTCACAGGCTTTGGGACTTGTGTTCTTGTAGGCTCTGGTTGACGTGTAGGTGTACTCGTGGTGGGGCATGGTAACTCGTAGCACGGCAGGAGCAAGTTGCGATGCAGTGTTTTCTCTCTGCCACGATTGCTTTCCGGTTTCACCACGTAAACTGGAACATCTGGGTTCAGTTGCCTGACTACACGATATGCTCCTTCCTCCCAACGATCAGCTATCTTTGTTTTCCCTCTGAGACCCACATTTCGCACCAGCACTCTGTCACCACTTTTTAACATAGTATTTCTGACTTTAGCGTCATAACGTTTCTTATTTCTAGCTGCACTTTCTTTTGCACCTTTGGATGCCAACTGATAGGCATAGTCTAGTCGTTCTCTCAAAGCCCTAGCATACTCATGTGGTGTTGTCTGAGGTCTTCCTTCTGGCTGTAACCCCAAATAAATATCTACTGGGAGGCGAGGATGCCGACCAAACATCAAATAATAGGGGGCGAATCCAGTAGTTTCGTGCCTGGTACAGTTATATGCATGGACCAATGGCGCGACATACTGTTTCCAATCTCGCTTCTGCTCTGGATTAAGCGTATCCAACATGTCACACAAAGTTCTATTTAGCCGTTCAC